TTTCCACCGAGGGCAGAGGAGAGCGAACAAAGGCGACGAGTGTGGGAAGGATAGAGGATACAAGTAAATATCGCTATCTACTTATTTTTACCTCTACTACTTTTCTTTTTTTGGCACCATTTAAAGGTTTAAATGAGGGTTTGCATCTGCTCCCACCAGCCAATCACAATCGCCCTAGCAACAAGGATGGGGCAGGTGAGAAATCGAGACAACTGCCTTCTCTCCTTTCTACTAGGCATTTTAATAAAACAAAAAATAATATATCCCAACACTTTATTGACGTCTAGCTATTTTGTCAGCTCATTTAATCCTCTTAAGTGTTGCTGTAGTCTTGTCAGCGATCATACAATGCCTTGAAGAAGGTCACTTTATGAAGCGACTCACGACTGCCCTCTGGATGGTCCTGGCTCTACTAGCCTTCAAATCCGTGCAATCCTTTTTGTATCATAAATTAATGCATATGATAATAATGTTATGGCAAAAAAATGCGGTGACTTCAACTCCTCCTCCTCCTCCTCCCCCTTCCATCCTTCCAATTCGCCTCATCGGCATCCTTCTTCTTCTCCTCCTCCTCCTCCTCCGAGTCATCTTCCGCCTCCGCCTCCGCCTCTTCCTCCCCTTCATTTGTCAGTTCGGATGTGATAGCGTCATAGCAAGGTGAATTCTTACAAAACCAACCCACCTTTTACTGCTCTAAAGCCGAGAAGTGATAAAACGCTGTCTGGTAAGAGTCAACCAACATTCAATGTTTTAATATACTTGTGTGGACTTCCTGATTGTTGCGACATGACTGAAAGGGGGAAACAAGTGATGGCCACTAATGATAAGACGGTGTCCATTAAACCGAGCGACACTACAACACGAAGAAGGTGGAAAAAAGCCCCGTCACCCACCAACATACCCAACATGGCCTCCTTATTGCAGTCGGACTTGGCGATTCCAAACGACGGTTGACCTCCGGCATCAAGTCGATCAATCACAAACTCCCAGTAGTGAATACCGCGTGACAGACCGGTGGATGCCAAAGCGACACAATCCTCCATCGACTGGCAGGTTAGGGAGCGATTGGAGTTGGAGAATTGCAAACCCCCAACCGAGGAGCGCGAGGCATCCATGTGGAACCACGAGTCTGAAGTCAACCCAACAGACACACGTCTACGCTTTGTACTCCTGAGGAGAGACTTCCTCATCAGTGCAAAAATACATTTAAAAAAAAAACAAACAAACAAACAAATCATCCAACTAAGAAGGCAGGTGGATGCTTGAAGCGCCTTCAATCGGAGGAGAAAGAAGTCCACATGTATATTTTTTTTTCTTTCCTTCCTCCAAGCCAATTACAGCAGGCTTTATTTTATGAATGTAAGAAGTGGACTTATTTTGTTGTTACTCTTTTATCAAATAAAAAAGGCATCTCCCTTGTGCTCTCGCTCTCGTGGGGAAATGTGGGGGATTTATGCGTCCCCATTGAATGCATTAATGGATGCCCAAATTAGTTTACCAATGGCCAAAGATGGCCAAAATCACGTCAATGCCTCCTCCTCTTCTTTTTTTTTTTTTGCATTTAACTTTGAGCCGAACAGGCGAACAATAAAAAAAAAAGCAGCACAATAAAAGTGGTTATGAGTTGGTGGAAGTGGGGGAAAGAGGAGGCATGAGACAATGGCCTAGACGAATGCGTCCATACACATTGTCGAATGCTGAAGTTTTGCACACTGCAGTTAGGGTTGAGTGGAAGGGTTGAATGACTTTCTGTCCAGATTGGACGTTTAAGGTTACCCAGAGGGTGCAGTAAAGTATGGCAAAGCACCCAGACACGTGTCGATCGTTGGTCGCTTTCATCCTCCCGTCTGGTGGAGGTGGTGGTGTGATGAGCAGTGGTGGTAGACGGCGACGTACAACCCAATTAAGTGATGATAATGATGAGTCAGCAGACGATAAATGCATCTCATCAAGGAGATGCAACTCGTCACTCATGATAATGAAAAGGTGCCACTGTAGGCATTTAGAAGAATTTTGTATGAGTGAAGGGAGGCCAAAAAGATGACGCCTAAAGTGAGCGAGAGAGAGAGTAGTGATGCTGATGATGATGAAGGCGGAGGTCGCTACAACGCCAGATGTGACAACACCCACCTCCACAGAAGATGGTGCTATCGACGCAATTGTCAAGTCATGCCTTTGTCCCACCCACCATTGACCTCACATTGTCATCCTCTCCAAGTTCTGTGTGACCATTAGTGCCTTCCTCTTGGCATCACTAGTAGCCAATCACATGCAACAGAACAGACAGTTGGGAGAGAGAGAGGGAGAGAGAGAGAGAGGAGTACCTGGAATGCCAAAAGTGGGTACTCATGAAATTTGTACACAAATTTTACCCCTTAAGGGCCCAATGAAAGTTAGAAGAAAGTAAGTGTTGAGCATTGAGCCACTGAAACAAAAAGCCAACATATCACAGCATATTTAGTGGTGCGTTTTATTACACTAAAGCGTGTTTAGCAGACAAAGACACTTAATTTGGTGCCATGCTTTGGGCATGGCACCTACTAAGACGTGCACCTCTCTCTCAAGTGTTTACCACTCTCTCCCACTGTGCACACTTGGAAGCAATTCATGCATATCATTTGATTTTCAAAAAACATTTCTCTATCATAGTGAAGTTAATTACTTTCAAAAAGAGAAGAAAAGAAAACAGGAGAAGAGAGTTGTTGAAAAAGAGGTTCCTTTTAATCCCACCGAGAGGAGCGCTTTTAAAAGCGCTCCTATTGTGACTCAAGCCTCGCCTCCCATGTTGTGGGTGGCCAAACTCGTAAGATTTGGGATTCAGACATAATAATAAAACGTGGTGATTCCATTGAAAAGGTCTGATATGCACGCACACACACACACACACAGACACTCCGAAAAACGGCTTACGTGTCGATGTCTGGATAACCAGTCGGTCGCTGTAGGCGCTGTAACCGGACTGATTGTGAGCTTTCACTCTGGCCCGATACATGGATTTGAAGTGAAGTCCCTCAATTGTACACATTGTTTCAACGCCTCGGTACACCTTCTGTAAAATTAGAATTGTTTTTTTAATGTTTGTGTGTGTACAGCTCTTGTTTTCCCCTCGTGGTTATTTTATTTTATTCGCTTGATTTTTTGAGATAAACTCAGTGCATTTTTTTGAAACTGCTGGAGAGAGGGAGAGGAGGAAAGGAGGTGAAAGGGACACACGTTGATGGGAAATTGATGCCAAAAAATGCAAACAGGTGATATTTTTTGCTTTTATTTAAAAAAAGTATGATTTATATGTCATGGAAAAGGTTGGCTTTGTTGTTTTAGTTATGACGAATTAACTACCACCAATTTAGAGCTGCCATAGGCTTTCGCGCATAGATCAAAAAGTGAAGCCAATAGGTGAAGTAGCAAGTGGATGGGAGGTAAAACGCACTCGAAAGGCCCCGCCAGCTCCATCATCAATCTCCAAGGTGTAGTAG